TTCCCTGGTTTACAAGCTAAAGAGGACAAAATGTATTAACGGGTACAAAAAAAGCCAGAGAAAACTGGAGCAGGAGCAGCAAGAGACATGTCAGACACACTCCCATTAGCTTCCCTTCCAATGTGCGTTTAACAGATAATTCGTTATCATCACAGTCCAAAGTTAACCTGCTGGAAATCTGCTGTGGGAGAGCTGGCTGCAGCTGCAGCATTTCAGCTGGGCATAAACAAACCAAAAAACACAGCAGAAGCTTGTTTTTGATTAAACCCACTGCTGCCAGGCACAAATACGTATTTTGTGGGTGGAAGTTCATTGGGGCACGAGCACCAAAGATCGTCCCTCCCTCACTGAAAAACAGACTTTGTGCCCCGCGCTGCACGTCCGCATCCCACACCGATGGCCTGGGAGGAGCAGGAAGCAGTCGGGCTTCGGCTGCACCTCCTGCAGCAGGAAGCTGCTGCTCAGCCTGGTTCTGCCCCAGCTCGCTGCTGTTCCTTCACACCTCCCATCCCTCTGTGAGATTTCAGGCAATGCTTCGGCACGGAGGAGCAGATCCCCGCGTGGGCACGGCAGGGCTGTGCGTGCACGTGGCTGTGTAATACCATAACAAGATTACCCTGGGACACGATGGCTGTGAAATAATCCACGATATCACTCAGCAAATCCCAGGATCCAATTACTGCTTTGCATGACACCGTCCTGGAGTGGGGGGCTGAGCAGTGCCGTCCAGCTCCGCTCCCCGTGCCCTGGTGTCACTCAGCATTAGCACATTTAGCCATGCCCTGTGGAGTGCTGGCCTCACAGCAGCTCCCCGTGCCTCCTGCATGCAGTCGAGCCTCCCTTCCATCCGCTCCCAAGCATCAGCCCCAGCAGCACTGGGCTGCTCTGCAGTACTGCTCTGCCCAGGGCATGTAGCAGAGGAACAGGGTGATGCAGCCACGCCGAGCTCCGCTGTTTGCAAACAGCTCTGCAAGACACGTTCCTTGGCCCAGCACCTGCTCCCTGCAGCCAGCAGGAGCACAAAACCCAGCACTCCAGACCCAGCAGTGCTCCCGCAGCGCCCAAGCAGCGTTCCGCAGTGCTCTGCCCTTGGCAGGTGTTCAGACAGCAGCCCTGCTGCCAAGACAGGCAGGGAACGTGGCCAGCTGCAAATTTAGTTCATTTTTGGAGCCTCTGAATCGCTGGCCAGCTGCCAGGCTTGTTATTTGTTATTTGTTGGTCTCTTTAAGTATTTTTTTTTTTCCCAAGTGAATTTCAAGCTGGCAAGTGGAGCCAGGCAGAGGAGCGTGGCAGCGCGATCCACCCTGAGCACCAGCAAACCTGGGCTCTCACCTCTGCTGCAGTGGGAATAGAATCGAGGCTCTCAGCACTACAACTCCTGCACTCAGCCCTGCTGCACAGGGATGGCACAACACTGGGCTGGAGGCCTGGGTTTGGCAGGCAGTGGCCAGTGCTTGTGGCCTCTGCGAGCCTGGCCAGTGGTGATTAAGAAGCGAAACAAAATGGGGGCAATTTAAAAGGGAAGAAATTGCTGTTCCGTCTTGGAAACCTGATCTGCAGCTCCATTTCCCTCCAAAGGAGAGAAACAAAGGCTTTCAAGTGGCTGCCTCAGAGGGCAGGAGGAGAGGGGCTGCAGGGCTGGGGCCACCAGGAGCTAAAGGGCGGGGATGGGGAGGATGGGGGAGGATGGGACTGGGATGGAGCAGGGTGGGGCGAGACAGGTATGAATGGGGCAGGGATGGGATGGGATGGCAGGGGCCGTGGGGCAGGCAGGTGGGCTCATGTTCTATGCCCTCCCCCCACCTCATGCCTCTCTGCCATTGTTCATGGCCCCAGGGGTCAGGCTGCCCTTCCTCTGCCCACCACCTTTCCACCACACCTCCTGCCCTTATGTGAGCCCCCACAGCACCCCAGGGATGAAGGAGCCATTCTCTGGAGCCCTGGTGAGGCTGAAGGAGTTGAGAAAGCAGTGAGTTTTCCTTGATGTTTGCTTTAGACAGAGCTGTTGCTGCAAATCAGGTGGCTTGTGCTGCAAGGCCTGGTGAAGATAACGGGGAGGATGAGCTCCCCTGGTGAGTGTCATTTGGAGAACTTGAATGGGGGCTCTAAAGTTGAATGCAAAGTAAAAGATTAAGATCGGTATTTGTCCCTTTTCTTCCTTTTTCCTTCCTACCGAGCAAAAATACTCCTGTTTATTGCTACAAACCCTCGGGGCTGTATGGTGAACTCCCAGCGGGAACCAATGTCTCAGGAGATCAGAGATCCCAAGAACATCCTTCTGCCAAAGCTGCCTCTCTAATCAGCCCCATTCATCTCCCTCTGCAACTCTATTTGAGAAACGAGTACGGGTCAAACACGGGACAGCTTCCTCAGCACTACCACCCATCTGCAGCCTCCCTCAGGTCACACATTGGGGTGGCTCATGGTGGACAGCTTCCCACTACCTTTTTCTGTAGCTTAGCTTGCATATCTGTGCTCAGTCTGCAAATCCACCGCTGCTGTTCCCCATCAGCAGAGCTCACCCAGCACTGCCCCTCTGCTGCCATGCACTGAGCTGCAGCACCGAGCTCCAGACCTTCCCGCTGTATATTCTTCCTAAGAAAATAAAGCATCACTGTCCTATTAATTATGTGAGTTACGGAGCAATATTTTTCCCAGAGTCACCTACTGGTTTGCGTATTATTTTTCCAGGCAGCTCAGCCAGTAGCCTGGCAACGCGGTGACCTTATGCTCTGCACAGCTTTGAGTGTTATATCAGCCACACTGGACTCTCTCCACTGCTCCATATTGCTCAGCCCCTCATTAGTGCAATTAATAAGCCGCTTCTGTCAATTCAATCAAATGCCAGGCTCGACAGCAGCGGAAAGTTTTGGCAGTTTGGGTAGGAGAGATTCTGGGCAGCACTGGGAAATTGCAGGAAACCTTTCATCTCCCCCAAGGAGCTGAACAAGAATGGGATTGTGGGCCTGGGATTCTCTCAGGTCATGTTTATTTATCGCCTGCTCGTTAGTATAATAAATCAGATCCCCTGTCACTTTGAATGAAATCAGAGGTTTGCTGGAAGGAACTTGGCAGAACACCTTGATATTATTCGTGATGGTGCAGACAAAGGCTCACGGAAGGCGATGCCCTGGCTGGGCAGCACCTCCCACACAGCAAAAGCAAGCTGGCCACAGCCATGCGGTCATCCCAGGGCAGGGAGGGATGCGATGGGCTGGGGGCACACTGCACAACCGCACTGCACAGCACGGTGTGCCAGGGGTGCACGGCAGCGGGCAGGGATGTTCCTCCTGCTGCCACCAGTTCCAGGGGACGTTTGGTGGGAGAGCTGCCTGCCCTGCCACTGCTCTGTCATCGCTGCTCCAAGTGTGTGCAGGAGGCAGAGCTGCCCCTCCACCTGCAGTCACATGCACCGTGATGGCATTTCATTTCTCACTGCAGACTTTGTCCTGGCTCTGATGTTGCTGTGCTCCTTGGACCTGGGAGCTCCCATGGCTGCAAGGCAAGACCCTGGTAGGAGGAGGAGGCCCTGGTGAGCATGGCATGGGTCTGAGGAGATGCTGCAAGGTCAGGCTGTGCCCATTGCACTGCTGGGAGCACCCTGGGGTGGCAGCAAGGAAGAACTGCTGTTCTGTTGGTCTGAGCAGCGCTGCAGGTGAACGGCCCAGAAACGTTCCTAAAATAAAACTCCCCGGGATATTCTTCAATCTGGTCTGGCAATGGAAGTGCTGAATAAAATAAGAACTTTCATCCCAAGGTTATGACGGAACAGTTGTGTTTTATTGGTCAATTTATGACAGCATTCACTCTCCACGCCGGGATAAACATTAAACTCTTCCTAATTGCTCAAAAGATGCAATGCTGGGGGGCAGCTCGTGCCCTCATTGCAGCAGGACCAGCGGAGCACCCCGGCCCCAATCGTTAGCAGCCGCGACTCCCGCTGACCCATAAACGCTCAGGGAAAGAAACAGCCGCTGGGAGGGGAGGAAGGGCCAGCTGAAGATGCTATTATTGCTGCAGTAATTTCCCTGGAAAAACAGCCCCCGGTTGCAGCCATGTGCGAGGAGGAGGAGGAGGAGGAGAGCCGCTCCGCTGAGCCGACCCCCCGGGCCGCCCCGTTCCTCGCCAGCCCGGTGCCAGCGGGCAGTTCCGCGCTGTAGGCCGGGCGGCAGCTCGCACCTCCCGCGGGGCCGGCCGGAGCGAAAAACCGCCGGATCCGCGGGGCTCCTCGGGGCTCGCGTGCCCCCCAGCGGCCAACACGGCCCGGCGCAGGGACCGCAGCCGGCGGAGGGGAAGCGCTGCTCCCACGGCCGCGCCGCAAGTACAGCCGGGGCGGGGCGGGGAGGAGAACGAGCCCGACGGCTGCGGTCGGAGCGGGGGAGCGGCGCAGCGCTGGGGCGGGCCGCTATTAGCGTGCGAATGTGGCTGCAGTAGCGATGCTGTCACGCACGCAAATTGCGGTGGGAATCGTTGTCGGAGCCCCGCGCGGGGGCCTCGGCTTTGTCTCTCTGAGGCGCTCCGTTGGGCTGCAGAAGCCCGACCGAAGGAGATGGACGAGGGGCGGGAAAGGGCCGGGAACCGCAACCGGCAACCGCACGGCGCGCGGCGGAAAGGGGGCGGGGCCTGATTCGAGCAGGGGCGTGGCTTAATGCGATCGTGGTCCGATGTGCTCAGGATGCGGGGCCGACGTGCCGGGGCGGTGCGTGAGCTGTTCGGGGCGGGGCTATTTGGAGCCCCGCCCATCGCTCAGCTCCCCGCCTTAGCCCCGCCCCTTGCCGCCCGCACGCCGACGTGATGACGCGACGCGGCGGGGGCGTGGCGCGGCGTGGGGCCGGGCGGGCGGTGCGGGCCGCGCCGCGCTGAGCCGGGAATGCGGGGAGCGGGGCCGGGCGGCGCGGCCGCCCGCGGGGCGCTGGCCCTGTTGCTGCTGCTGCACCTCCTGACGGCGCCGTGCGGGTGGGCGGCCGCCGTCGAGCCCTGCGCCGCGCCCTGCTCGTGCCGCCGCGGCCTGCTGGACTGCAGCCGGCAGCGCCTGCCGCCCGGAGCCGGACCGCGGAGGATCACGCCGTTGCCCGCCGGCACCACGGTGATGTGAGTGAGCGCGGGGCGGAGCGAGGCCGAGCCTGAGGCCTAGCGGGCGGAGGGCTGCGGTGAGGCCCGGCCGGGGCCTAACGGGTCTGCGGGTGCTGCGAGCCGCGCTCGGCCTCCCGGCGGTGCCGTGGGGCTGAGCTGTGCTGAGCTGTGCTGACCGCACAGCACCGCGGCTCTAAGATGGGCACCGTGCTGGCAGGCAGCGCTGGATGTTCCCCTACAAACAGGAGGGGAATCAACTCTTGGGAGGGGGAGATAACAGCAGGACAAGGGGAAATGGTTTGGAGTTGAGGGAGGGAAGATTGAGGTTGGATGTCAGGGGGAAGTTCTTTACTATGAGAGCGGTGAGGTGCTGGAACAGCTGCCCAGAGAGGCTGTGGATGCCCCGTGCATCCCTGGAGGTGTTCAAGGCCAGGTTGGATGGGGCCCTGGGCAGCCTGGGCTGCTATGAAATGTGGAAGTTGGTGGCCCTGCGTGTGGCGGGGGGTTGGAGCTTCGCGATCCTTGAGGTGCCTTCCAACCCGGGCCATCCTGTGGTTCTGTTCTGCTGGGTGCCATGCTGGCTCTGAGCAGCGTTATGCAATCCCACATCTGCTGCAAACAACATTCAGTGCGTTCTCTGTTGTGGCTTTCAGGATTTTGGCACGTGGAGCACATTGGGGGGAGGGGGTGACATTTTTCCTTCTGTCTGACAGCTGTGGTGGTTTTGAATCTCAGCGAGCTGTGATGCATAAAAGCTGTTTAAAATGAATCAAAGCACATTTTTTCTCACATCACAAAGTCCCAGGTGGATTTTCCCCCCATTGCTGTTCGTTTCACCCATTGCTGTTCATTTCACCCATTGCTGTTCATTTCACCCA